TTGATGCACTCCCAACCCTCTTTCTCTTAAAGAACAGTTTTTCTCTACCAAGGTTCCTCTAAATTCTCTGAAGTGCCTCTTGATACCTCGAACAGGATTTCTTAAACGAGATAGATATCACAATTAAGAGATGCGCGATGTTAATTTGTAACGTTAATTTCGACAACAGAGGCTGGAGGCAGGCAAAGCTCCCTTTGAGTTTTGGAGGCTTGGGCCTTTGATCAGCGATAGATTTGGCCCTTCCAGCATATCTTTCTTCACTTTCGTCCAGTCACGAATTAATTGATGGGATACTCGGTGGATCGTCTCAGTGTTTCTCGGGTAGTTCTTTCGAACAAGCTTGCAGCGTCTAGGCCCCAAAATTACTTTCTATCCCACTAGACACATCAAAACAGAAAAGCTGGGATAAAATAAAATGCGGGGTCAATTTTACTAATTTGAGGCTCTCTCTGGAGCAGCATCGCCTCGCCTCGCCTGTCTACTATCTGCTTCACAACCGAGTAGTGGCGCCTGGTTCAACGCAGTGCCCTCCTCATCTACTGGTACCCTTCCAGATGATGAGTGCACTCGGGTCGGTGTCGCGATCCGTATTGGGTTCAAATTATGAGCGTTACAGATGCAGATGTGGAGCTTCCATTGATGAATTTGGTTTGCATCCTCTCTGCTGTCGTCGTAATGCCGGCCGTTTTCCAAGTCATACAGCAATAACAACATCAGAAGAAGAGGTTTGGATGTAGCTGGGTTCCCTTCCCAAATCGAACTCGTGGTGACGTAAATCGGACGGATGGGATCACCATTTTCCCTTTTAAATTTGGGAAGTCGTTGGATTTGGGATGCGACTTGTGCAGATGCATTTTCGTCCGGTAAATTGATCAGGTCCGCGGGGTCTGTCGATCCGGTCGCGGAGATACAAAAAATAGTTAAATATTCTTCTCTTGCGGACAGATTTAATTTTACTCCATTGGTAGTGGAGACTTCTGGGGTCATTGGCCCTCGTTCGATGGCGTTCCTTCGGAGGGTTGGCGGGATTGCGTCTCGATTAAGGGACGAGCCTTGCGAAATGAACTGGTACTTGCTGTTATACATTTTCATGACGGTCGTCCTCGAGTATAGAATCCAGAGGTTGGCATTGAATATTTCGGAGACAGTAGGAAAGCGTACTTTAGGTTCGCAGTGGATATCGCAGCAGAGCGTAGTTCTTCTGTCTGTCATGTTCGCCTCACATGTTGGCTCTGGTCATTCCGGTAGGGTAAACAAAGATGGCCGCCTTTATACACGACGGATACAGTGTTCTGCGGCTCATGATTGGTTAATCTTCTATTGGTAGACTATAAAGGGAAATAAGTCATTTTGACTCGCTTACTAGTTATATATAGTATATACCCAAAAAACCGTAACACTTGCAACGTGTCTCACTGGAGATGGTGCGAGATAATGATTTCGCCATCATTACGGCTGGCAGAGGATCGCAAAAAAAAAACACGACAGGAGAGAGGATACTTTGTTCAAATAAAAACTTTGTTTCACTAAAAAAAAATTTAGACATAACTAGAAAAACAAAAATTCGAAAATGGAATCTTCCGATTTTATCTTATAATCTGATAATTTATTTAATCTTATTTTATCTTATAATCATCAATAGAATCTTATAATTATCTGATCATTTGTTAGGCTTTAAAAAATGAAGTTTTCTTTCGTGGCTGTGAAGTTATAATTTAATTTCAAATCATTTTAATGAATTGTTTGCTTCTGTTTCTGAGTGCCTGATCGTTAAGTATATTTGTATATGTAAATATATCATATTTGTGTGTACCTTTGTATATCTATGTAAATGCGGGTGTATATATATGATGTAATAGAATAACCAGTCACCACCACTATAGGTAGTAAGTACCTATAAAGTCAACTGTCTACGAGAAATTCGAGAAAGAGAAGGAGTGTGAGAGCGTCCAACATTTCAATTAGTGGCACTCACTACTAGATTGTCCAGTGTGTATAACCGTACCGTATTTCATATTGTACTTGTTGTGTACAATAAACCTTTCGTCTATTATCTACCTGGTGTTAAGTATTTATTCCCTTAGCACAGGATATAGCATATGCATAATCTGGATTACCAACAAAGCATATGGACCTGATGGTATCCCCGCAATAGTCCTTAAGAAATGTTCTCTCTAAACTATACATATGGGGACTAGTCTTCATAGAGACATTGTGGTATTTTGGTGGGTGTCGTAAGAAAGGTAAGTAAGAATGTGTTGTTTTGGTGCTAGGATTATTGTTTGTGTGTTTGGGTCAGTGGTTGTGGCAAGCTAAATTTTAAATTAAGACAGATGATGACCATCCCCCTTTTTTAAAGCCTTGTGCCACATTTTCTGTGTATTATTACAGAAATAAATACAAAAGTGAGAGCGAGACAACGCAAGCACGCCCGACCTTCCAATTAGTGGCACCCACTACTAGAGTGACCTGTGTGTATAACTGTACTGTATTTCATATTTGTACGTGTTGTGTACAATAAACCTTTCTTCTATTATTCACCTGGTGTTAAGTATTTATCCCCTTTGCACGGAATATAACAGTCAAGAAACACATGATGTATATGTAGTTTGCCCAAGTTGTGGCTGATTTAGCTTCTAGTAAGTAATTTGGGTGTATATATATATATATATATATATATATATATATATATATATATATATTATTATTATTATTATTATTAATTGAACTATATACTTAGTTCATGTCATGTTAACTGAAAAACACTTGTAAAAAAAGAATTCGTGGATTTACCATATTACAAATTTCATATAAAAATTCTCACTTGAAATTTGGAACTTTAGCGTTGCGACTCGCACGTTCCGATATTGTACAACCGTCAATAAATAACACATTCTTAAAAAATAACATCTTTCGGTCTACAAACAATTATTTTGTCTTCAAGTTTTAACTTTAAAGGAAAAAAAATTACAGCCTGATGATGAAGACATGGATTTTCGAAAGTACTTGCTTAACTTAAAAAAATATACACTAGAAACATCTGACAACAGTTTTATTAATGAGGATCACATCATTCAATGGATTAACAGCATTTTAATGTATATATTATGTTTCTACTAGCGAAGTGATTTCACCATTAATCGCATTATTATTGCTAATTGATTCTATGTATGATTATTTCTTTATATATATATATATATATATATATATATATATATATATATATATATATGATATAATGGTATAACCAGTCACCCCATGAATGATTATACTATATATAGTAAGTACCTGTAAAGTCAACTGTCTAAGGCAGAGTTGAGGAAGATCGAGAGAAGACGCAAGCATGTCCGACCTTCCAATTAGTGGCACCCACTACTAGATTGACCTGTGTGTATAACTGTGCCGTATTTCATATTGTACTGATTGTGTACAATAAACCTTTCTTCTATTATCCACCTGGTGTTAAGTATTTATTCCCTTAGCACGGAATATAACAATATCTGAAAGTACATATTAAGATATTTATATTTAAATTATAGTTGTATATTTGTATTTGAAGGTATATATGTGTATATACTCACTAACACAGACGCACACACACACACACACATGTATATATATATATATATATATATATATATATATATATATATATATAATATACGACATAATTAAGCTCTTGATCATATATTTCAATTGAGCACTTGAGAGACAGCCTAATTGTACAAACAGCAGTCGCCTACGCCAAAAGCGCAAAGCTCTTCGGTTGAATGAATACGAGCACTCTGGCTGACTGGCGTTTGTTTACATTCGTAAAAACAGTATGCTAAAAATAGCACTTTCGCTCTGCCGAGTGCTGATGGCTTAGGTGTAGAAACTCCGACAGACACTAAGTGGGGTTTCGATCCTGGCTTGAGGCTTTCGGACGTCTAGTCGAACTGAGGAGCAGTGATACAGCGAAATGTAATCTGCGAATGATATATATATATATATATATATATATATATATATATATATATATATATATATATATAGTGTTGGGGCAGCAGATCATTATTCAAACATATATTGTTAAATATAACAGACGAGTGTCAGCAAGGCCTGTGATCAGGAGCTTTTGAAGAGCGTGGGACCACCTCTTAATTGCTGATGTTCCCAGGTCCACCCTGACCCAGTGTGGTAGCACCTGTTAGGGTCTCAGGTATGGGCAAATAGTTAACACCCAAACTTGTGTAAAAATAGGTTTTAAAACCAGAAATACTTTGTAAAAAAAATGATTACCAGCATTTATTTTTGAAGGAAAAATTATTATCAGCAATACTTTAAAAAAATACCAGCAATACAAACAGTTATACATTCTTTGAAAAAAAATGACTAGCTATAGATTTCTTCAAGGAGGAATATTCCCAGAAATAAATTTTTGAAGAAAAACATATTACCAGCAATAAAAATTTTGTCGGCATTACATAACCCATTGAGGTTGATATGCCATAAAACAAAAAACAAACTAAACCAACGAATATCTATTATGTTTGATCATGAGCCGTTCTAAGCTTCATATAGTGGCTTTGTATGAGGATAAAATAAAGACAAAAACTTTCCAACATTTGGATTTTGTTTTTATTAAGCTGTAGAGAGCCATTAAGAGCTACAAAGGACAAGACGCCGTGGAGAGCCATGATCGCCTACGTCCAGAAGAGACACGGTACATAGAAGAATGAGCTTGTGTGAAAAGGATGGTGCAGCAAGGTTTAGGAGAGATAACAAAAAGACAAAATTTATTAAGAGCTACAAAGGACAAGAAGTTGTGGAGAGCTATGATCGCCTGCGTCCTGAAGAAACACGGTACATAAAGAAGTGACGATCGAACCTATGGCCTACTTGTGATGATTTGTGATACCAGCTTGTTAACCATTACGCTGAGATCATAAAATTTTCCGAAACTCATTTGCAAGATTTTACTAGCATCAAGAAGTTACAATATTCAGTGTGTTTTGGGCTTACGGCCACATCACGCTGAAATACCGGTTCGCGTATGATCACTGAAGTTAAGCAACCTCGAGCCGGGTTAGTGCCTAGATGGGTGATCGCTAGGTGTTGTAAGCATGGATGTGCAGGTGGTGTAACGAATAATGGCTCAGAATTGTTAATCGGTCGACAGAGTTCCATTCCAGTCAGGTTTGTTATCGTCACTTACGCATAACTACTGTTAGGAAAGCTATGAATCCATCTCTTCTCCCCCAGCTATGGGTTAATTAGTAACTAAACCATTATTATCTCCAAAATTAAAATAAAATTGTGTACAAAATATATTTAGGCCTCGTCATTAAAAAAACACACAAAGGTTGATTTGCCTTTAAACAAAAGCAACCAAGCAATCAGTGTGTTTTGTTAGATTAGTGAAGCCCGTTTGAAGATTTTAGAAGTACCACTTTTCAGTACCGTTAGTCTTTTGCTATACTGGATCAATGAAATCTGAAATATTTACCCAGAAGAAATGAAAATACATTCAGAAAATCTCTTCTCTGCATATGCTCCGGAAGCAGCAATTAATTTTCAACCCATAGAATTTTAAAGAAAATTTCGTTCGTTTTTTTTTCTCAGTTTTCGAAATATTTCCATGTAGATTTCTTGGTTTAGCATTTCCTAAAATATCACCAACACGGGCAACGAATGTTGATGAGCTGCCACAATCTGTATTCATGATCTTTTACCTCTTTCTTTGACTCAAATTTTTTCTGACAATTTTTTTCTCATTTTTGGAAAAGTTTTTTTCTTTTTTGTGTTCCTTATTTTTAACGTTTATCTTGATCTTCTGAAATAGTTTTGTTTTTCTTCCATTTTTCGTTTTTATTATTTGATTTACATATCTTTCATGTTTTTCTTCCTTTTCATATCACTTTCTCCTCTTTTTTCTTTCTTTTTCATTCTTTCTTTCTTTCTTTCTTTCTTTGCTTGCTTGTTTTTTTTTCTTTTATTCTCATTTCTTTTCATCTTCTTTCTTTTTTCATTTCCTTTTTATCTTTCTTTTCTCTTTCTTATTTTCTTGCTTGTTTTTTTTTTTTTAATTCATTCTTTCTTTCTTTTTTATTTTTCTTTGCTTTTTTCGTTGTTTCGTTTTCTTCTCTTTTTTAATCATTGCACCCTAAGTAAGGCAATAAAGCCACTAAGAATGAGACGTTTACTCAGAGTAAAAGAATATCTTACTTGCTTTTTCCTTCCTTCCTTCCTTCCTTCCTTCCTTCCTTCCTTCCTTCCTTCTTACTCTTACTTGCTTGCTCTTTTTTCTTGACATCGTTCTTTCTTTCTTTCTTTCTTTCTTTCTTTCTTTCTTTACTCCTACTTGGCTTTATTTCTTTCCTTCTTTCCTTTCTTCTTTCTTTCTTTCTTTCTTTCTTTCTCTTTCTTGCTTTTTATTTAGTTAGTTCTTTCATTCTTTATTTCTTCATTTATTTATTCATTCTTACTTGCTCATATTCCTTTCTTTTTGCTTGCTCTTTCTTTCGTTCTTCTTACTTGCTTACTCTTTCTTCTTATTTGTTCTTTCTTTCTTTCTTTCTCTCTTTCTTTCTTTCTTTCTCTCTTTCTTTCTTTCTTTCTTTCTTTCTTTACTAACCCCCTTCTTCCTTTGCTTAAACTTATCTTATTATTCGAATTACTGACAATTTTTTAATTTTTTTTTACTTTGACAAAATGGCATTTCTCCATTGTAATATATGTGTGTGTATATATATATATATATATATATATATATATATATATATATATATATATATATGTTCTTTTTCATTTTTTTTTTTATTATTTGTATAACTATTATTTTTTATCGCGGAAGCTTAACAAACTGTCAGTTCTTGCCAAGTTCTACTGATCGCAGCGCATTGATACATGGACTTTTTTTTCTCTTACTCACTTCAACATTTCAGTTCATTTATTACAAAAGTCCCCGTATGCCAAAACTATCCAGCTAATATAATCAGTAAACTTTCTTTGCATAAATCGAAATTAAATAGAAAATTTAAGTTCCCTTATCAACTTTCGTATTTTGCCCTTTTTAATTATTTAAAAAAAAAATTTTTCAACATTTTTGTTCTTTTTTTTTTCAAACATAAACATTTTTTTTTTAAATGTTACTTTCTTTCGTATTTCAGAAGTTAAATATTCTTTCTTTTGATTGAACTTTGTTATTTTCTTTATCTTTCATTCTACACTCTCTCTTAAGTCTTGGTATGACGATAAACAACATCCGACGGTAATGCCTCTGATCTGGAGATTCGTGGTTTTCAGGGGTGTTGTTCCCAGGTCTATCCTTACCCGGAGTGTTAGCACTTGTTAGGGTCTCAGCTATGATGCAATAATGCCCCCCCCCAATAAAAATAAAACACTGTAAAAGTATAAAAATACAATTTTATAGCGAAAATAACAGCAATACATTTGTATTTAAAAATTTACCAACGAAACATTTTTAAAGCGGAATTATCAACAGTACTATTGCAAAAGGACTATCAATAGATTTTATCTGTAGTTGTAACGATAAAATAGTATTCGTAATATTTAGATTTCGGCACTAAGCACCCCATAGAGGTGTTGATATGCCGGTAAACAAAATCAACATATCTCAAGTCATTGTAGTTGAGTACCGACCGACTACGAAATTGTATTGAATGCAAAAATTCGTGTGCAAGTCAGCTAATGGGGGCGGCGGGTGGGGGAAAACCTTTACACAAATATACCGCTACGGACAACAAAATTGTACCTCTCATGTCTGCCTGCTTTGTGCCAGATATTTGAAAATGTGTCTTGTTTAAAAAGCCATATTCGTTTAGAGTAAAAGTGAGTCTTTTAATATCTTGCAATGCTCACACTCGTCAATCAGGTGGCAGACACCTATCTATCTATCCCAGTCTCTCTCTCTCTCTCTCTCTCTCTCTCTATATATATATATATATATATATATATATATATATATATATTAATAATGAATATCAAACACTTAAGTAAATATCAAAACATTAAGTGTTTGATATTCATTATTAATATCAAACACTTAATTTTGCTTTTCTCTGACATAGATCTCTCTTAAGTGTTTGATATTCATTATATATATATATATATATATATATATATATATATATATATATATATATAATAACAACTGTCACAACTGTCCTCTACAAAATAAATGTCGCACGAAGTCATTAGTATACCAATGCAATATATCTTCTATTGAAAATCCTGAAAAACATAAAAATTTATATAGGTTGCACAAGCCATGAGTTCAAAAAACGGTTCAACCAACATCAAAGTTCATTTAGGACAAATAAATATAGAAATTAAACATCTCTCTCAAAGTACTTCTGGCACCTAAAAGAATCCAATAAAACACCTACAGTAAAATGGAAGTTAATAAGAAAAGGGTATATGTCCTTTATGCATGCATGAGAAACTATATATTACTAAGTTTATAAAAAATAAAATTTTACTGAATCAGAGAAATGAAATAGCTATTTTTTGCCGTCATTCTCAAAAATTTTCCTTAAATAATATTTAAACATAAAATTAAAAAGTGCGACCTAGTAATATACATACTTATATTTGATATGAAAAAATAATGTTATATACTGTAAGTAATTCTATTACATTTACTTGTTTTAAAAAGAAATATAATCTATTAAAATTAAGAGTGAAATTATTTTAAAATTGTAGTTAAATAAAACGAATTCTAACCTTAAAATCTCTCTCAAAGTACTTCTCGCACTTAAAAGAATCCAATAAAACACTTACAGTAAGATGAAATTAATTAATAAGAAAAGCTAGAATATGTCGGCCATCAAATGACCTATGTACTTTGTACATACATGAGAAACTATATATTACTAAGTTTATAAAAAATAAAAGTTTACTGTATCAGAGAAATGAATTAGCTATTTTTTGCCAACATTGTCAAAAATTTTCCTTAATAGTATTTAAAAATAAAATTTAAAAAAAAAGGTGACCTGGTAATATACATACTTATACTTGATATAAAAAAAGAATTTTATATACTGTAAGTAATTCTAGTACATTTACTTGTTTTAAAAGAAATATAGTCTATTAAAAATTAAAACTGAAAATATTTCAAAATTGTAGTTAAATTAAACGTATTCTAACCTAAACATCCCAAAAAAAATCTTTACGTATACAAATAGAAAAAATGCCGTAAGAATTTTTTTGCCGTTAACAATAAAATTTGAGAAAAAAAAAACCCAGACGATATGCATTTAATGTCAGAATTCGTTGAAAAATACATCCCTACTCCTACCTAAACATAACACTTTTTTCGAACGTAACTAATAACTGAAACAACAAAAGTTAATAAAAATGAACACGCTACCACCACTTGTCTGAATGATTAGATCTCTCTGTATCCTTGGAAACAATGAATTATGAATTTTCTGTGCCTTTAAAACTCAGTAAATTTAAAAAATAAGTTACTCCAAAATTCGCTTGAGGATGAAATGGAACTAATGTTTTTAATTTAATTAAAAAATGAAATTTGAAGCTTTCGGCTTCCATTTTTGAAACATGGTTATTACTGTGTAGCAAAAAACAAACATAGTTTAAACTAGTTAATTTATATAATATATATATATATATATATATATATATATATATATATATATATATATATATATATATGGTGTATGTTGTACAAAATAAGTTGCCAGAACTGTTCCTCACAATAAATTGGTGAAATTTTCAGAAATTTAAAAAACATAAGATCTATGAACATAAAAGAGACTGTATACACAACTTATCAAATGCATTAGTCATTCATAGAAACTAATTCGACCACAACTTTGACTGAGCAAATGCCACCAGTATTAAAAAAGAAAGTGACTCATTTAGAAGGAAAATTCACGAAAGTGCCTCTATTGTATCTTACCAAAATATAAATCTGCGCTCCGATTTTTTTCCAATATCTGCTTTCTTTGAAAGAATTACAACCATTCCAAACCAAAATACATGACCACAAAAATATCAAATTAAAAGAAAACTATTAAATCCATAACCTCATGGTATTGAAAACATGCAACACATAAAGCAACCTAAATCCAAAATAATTCAAATAGTAATTTAGGTATATATATATATATATATATATATATATATATATATATATATATATATATATATATATATATCCCTTACTCACGTTCGTTTGTTAGGCATTCTGATAGAAATATTTAGGAGGATTTGAAATAATCATAATTAATTAATCGAGTCTAGAAGAAACCTCAACAGAATGCAGAAAGCACTGGACGGCCGTTTCGTCTTATATTTGGGACTCATCAGCAGTACGTATCCCGTTGGTACAGTAACTATTCGGGTTTCAAATCTCGGTAGTGAATGCGCACTGCTGATGAGTCCCAAATATAGGGCGAAACCGCCGGTCAGTGCTTTCTGTTGAGGTTTCTTCTAGACACGATGAATTAATTATATATATATATATATATATATATATATATATGTGTGTGTGTGTGTGTGTCTGTGTCTGTGTCTGTATCTGTGCGTTTGTGTGTGTCATTCACTGTATCACAGCTCCTCAGTGCGACTAGACATCTAAATCAATCAAGCCAGGATCGAAACCCAACCAATTTAGTGTCAGTCAGAACTTCTACCACTGAGCTATCTTCATTCGGCAGAGTGAAACAGCTAAATCAAGCGTATTGTTACTACGAATGTAAACAAATGCCAATCAGCCGGTGTGCTCTATTCATTTTACTGAAGAGCTTTGCATTAATGAAAGTGGATGTTTTTTATAGAATTAGCTTATCACTCAACAGTGCTCAATTGAAATATATATATATATATATATATATATATGATACAGGTAATATATCCATTGCTATACAATCCAGGTGGATCCTAGTAATATCAAATATGAAAACTGATCCACAGAGAGAGCTAAATGTATTTATTATAACAGAGCATGTATTGTACAGCAAAAAATCCAACATTACTTCATAAACTGTCAAATATTAATATCGGACAGCACTTTCTAAAATTAATAAATAAACACTTCCACAAAAACAAGCATCTAAATAAAATCTTCAAGAGGAAATCGATCATAATTAGCTACTCCTGCACTAATAACATGTACCAAATTATCAACTCCCATAATAATATCTTAAATAAAGAAACTAAATCTAGCATGGAAGCCCCTTGTAATTGTAGAAATAGAGAAAACTGCCCATTCACGGGTAAATGCAGATCTACTAGAGTAATATACCAGGCAACCATTACCCCTGAAGAAAATGTGACAAATTATAATGTTTACATTGGAATTTCTGCGGGAGAATGGAAACAGAGAATTTATACCCATAGGCACTCATTTACCGATCCTAAATTGAAATACCAAACAGCCCTTTCAAAGAAATTTTGAGAATTGAATGAAAAGGATCTGAATCCTTAGATAGATTGGAAAATTAGTGGTTTCGCATATACTCCTAATAGTTGTAGAGATAGGTGCAGGTTATGTTAAGGGGGGAAATAGAATAATAAATTACAATAATCAATGCAAACTATTAAATCAAAGGAAAGAGCCAGTGTTAAAATGTAGACATAGAAGCTGATTCAAACATATATAAGAATATAAATCTTAACTTATTACTGACTAACTCTCAAAAAGCAAGTATCCCCCAACTGACGCAACCCATTTTAATTATTTTTTTACTTTAATCTTAAAGAAATTCGGGTACAGCTTGGTATTACTAATAATTTAACCGATCCTTAATGATGTAAATGCATGGTCGATATATATATATATATATATATATATATATATATATAATCATTTATTTGAAAATTATAACATAAAAATGTTATAAAATCACTACAAAAATAGTCATTTTGTTTCAACACTTCTGGTGTCTTATCAAGTGATGGTGTTGAATGTAGTGATTTTATAACATTTTTTATTATCTGTCTATATTTCTGAGATGAGGTATTATTATGTACACTATTTACATTATTCGGACTACTGTCCTCATCTTTTTTTTTTTTTGGAATGTCGAACTGAACCCTTTATAAATAAAGGGTTCAGTTCGCCATTCCACCCACCTGAAGAAGGCCGGAGCGTACAACGGCCGAAACGTTGTAATAAACATGGCGACAAATATGAGGACAATAATCCAACTAATGTAAATAGTAGTAACATTTTTATATGTGTGTGTGTGTGTGTGTGTGTGTGTGTGTGTGTGTGTGTGTGTATATAGGTGTGTATAGATAGATATATGTACATGTATGTCCGTATGGATGTGGGTATATATATATATATGTGTGTGTTGTTCAGCATGATTTATTTCATTGGATGTTTCGGTATTACAGATTTCTGTTATTTCGATAATTTATTCTAACTTTAAATTAATAACATAATACATTTATTGTCAATCCTATCAAAACATATATGAGGTTGGTATAGTTTGGTATCTCTTAGCAGGAGCCTAAATTCATTTGCATACAACTAAAAAAACGCCCATCCCGTCCCATTTCTCCTTAGAGAGTTACCTCACGCCCTCCCCCTTGTCACCAACCCAGGCTCCTTATCTAAAGGAGATCTCTCCGACGTCTATCTAAACTAAATTCAAAACCTCTGATTCCGAGACAGTCTA